CTTAAGTCCTTCTCCTGTAACTGTCATCAAAAAAAAAAAAATCCCTATATCCTTTAACTTTTTTGATGAATGTTTCCTTTACTTCCTTTGTCTAACTGAAACTGACTATCCCTTAGGAACAAAGCAGGCTTCCTTTGTAGCCCTCTCAAGGAGTGCCTACTTTTTAATCCTACAACCTATATACAAAGGCTTTTAAAAGGATTAATTGCAACCCATTAGTAAGTGGTGAAATCAATTTAGTGAGTAGGAAATAGAAAACTTTTTAAATGAAGTAACAGAAGAGAAAACACCAGCATATACTGTGTGTAGTTAAGGTAAATATTGTTTTATGAAGATTATATAAAATTTATATATTAAATTATATAAATGACGGGTGTGCTGGATCACAATGTAAAAAATATTTCTTATGGTATATCATAACAATATATATTATATTTCAAACACACATATATACACACAAATATATATACTACACATATTCAAAAACATATGATTTGAATATGTATTGGAAACTGCTTTCCACCATCTAGGGTTAGCAGTGGAGTAAGTGTTCTATTTGCTCCTCATTTCTGCCTCAAGTACCATTTTCCTCCTTCCTCCCTAAATAATGTCCAGCTGCTCGAAGCACATGTGACCAAGCCATTCCACACACTACACCTCCTTGTTATTATTAATATCACCTATCACACTCTTGGTCATTCTCCTTTCATTAGAAACTCCATAAAGTGTCTTACTATCCCTCTCTCCATAACCCCATCATCATTCCTGGTAACTTCAACATCCATGTAGACAATCCATCTCATCATGCATACAAATGTGCACAAGTATGACTGTATTCCTTGCTAAGATACTGAAATATTTTCATATCCATTGGAAATCCCCTTGTATGTCATGCCCCAGCACTCTGACCTCTTCACAATTCAGAAACCAAAGGGAATGCCCTGGCAGAACAAGGTCCCTACAGAACCCCGCACCAGCACTATAGGTTACATCTATTTTGATGGGTCCAAGCCCAGGCTAGCAGAGGTTGTTAAAGATTTTGAATACTATTCCAGCTAACACCTTAGCCTCTCAGTTCCTTGAATTTCTCTTACCTTAAATGATCATGCCCACCACCTCAGCCACTTGATTCTCACCGTCATACCCTATACCTAGTTACTACCAACAACTGCAACCCCTCCCAAATTTCCAGTTCAGGCACCTCACTCTTCCCCCTACACCTCTAGCTGACTCCATTCCAACCAAATGTTCTACTTCACTGAGACTCAGAAATAAAGTTTATCTTTTAATCCCATCTTTGCACTGCCTATCATCCTCCTAACCCTCTTTTCACCTATCATTGAGCTTTATCATTTATTGAAGTCTTAGTATATTCTCACATCAACCCTATGATGTAGGTATAATGACATTCGTTTTATAGGCTAGGAAACTGAGGTTTATATAGGTAAATCAGTCTGGGATTATAGAAACAAAAAGTGATGGGTCTAGAATTTTAAATATCTGAATCATTATTTCCTTGACAGTACACTAGGGATAAAAATAATTTACCTCTCTGAGTGATGAAGATTACATGTACACAAAAGCACTTTGTAAACTGTAAAGTACCCTGCAAATGTTAGCTATAAATACTTACTAATGACTAGGAAGCCCTTATTCTTCCTCCCCACAAGAGTCCTAACTCAAGACTTCCCTTAGCCTTCCCCTTATAGCTATCGACGAAGAGGAAGCAACTGTCTCCACTGCCCTTTTGATAGAAAATTCATCTCTGACATCAAGCTTCAAAACATGGATTGGAGGAAAATAGTGTTATATATGGTGGTTCGTTTCTAAATTAGCATTGAACGTATAGTTTCATTATGGTTAAACAACCTTTTATAAGGTAGGCTGGTAATTCATTACAATCAACTGATTAATAAAAGAACTTTTATAACACTATCTTTTCTTAAACTGGTTAATATTTGCATTGTACTTTCTTATTCAAACCACAGCAGAACAGGAGTTCAGAAATGAAGGGGCCAATGCTAAGCAAAAGACTGAGTCTTTTAAAGTCTTTTGAAGTTTTATAGAAAACTTGGAACCTTAAATGTCTCGGACCTCTCCCTGAGCCCCAGGAAGAACACTACTGTGTTCTAAGGAATTCTATATTCCACACATTAGAATCCGGCTGTGGGTTCAACTCATCCCATTCTGTTGTTGCCAGAATTCCATGAATGGGGCAGCCCAGGACCACCAAGTATCCTTACAATGATATAATTAGAACCATCAGGTATATCATTTCCTTATAAACACAAATATAGTAACTCCCTAACATCTGATATAGCAAATAAAAAATCCTTGATCCCTTAATATTTCTATCAGTTTCCCTATTTCTTCTATACTCTAGACTGACACCTGTGTGTTCTTTATTCCATGGCATGTCCCAGCAAGTCCATTTCTGCCCTTCTGATGCTATCTGGGATGCCCTTCCTACATTTTACCTTCAAAGCTGATCTTGAAACTCTTCGACCAGAAAGTCTTAAAAAGATGGAATCATCCACTTGCTACTTACTGCATACTTAATTACCCCACCTTGTAACGTTGCATAGAGTTTGTACTTGTCCATATAATTCCTGTGAAAGGTAAGGTACCACTCTGGTGAAAGGTGCACCAGATTAGAAGTCAGACCAGGGCTCAATTCCTGACTGTGTTCACTTAATACCCCTGAACCCATGTAGAGATAATAGCTACACCTCACAGAGTTTGTCGATTGATAGCTAAAGAGCTAGCACATCAAAGCATAATGTAAAGAAAGTTTGCATTTATTCCCTGTCATGTTTAAGACAAGACTCTGGCATGAAGTAGATGTTTATTAAATATTAATAACCCACTATCTCTTGCCATTAGGCCAAAGACTATTTGGCCTCTTTTTTTTTTTGTAAGGATACAATCTCACACTGGTTTGTTTCCCAAAGAAGAAGAGAGGAGAGTCTGGGCTGTTATGGTATCTACCAGCTTTCCCCAAATACTCTTTTTAGGTAAAGTCAGGTTTAGGTGCTTGGTTATATTCAATTTAACAATGTGTGACAGAGGCAATGCTAAGTGTTCATCAAATCACATTGCCTTTTCTTCTAGGCATACACACTACTTCCCAGCCACCCTACAGTTAAGTGGGGCCATATGACCATGCACATGAATTCTGTCTAAGGGAATGGGGTGAAAATAATGTATGCCACTTCCAGAACTGGCCCCTGCTATCACTGACAAGTCAGCCACAGCTCTCCTTCCTTATCCAAGGCCCACAAACTGGACTATTCCAAGGCCACAAGGGATGGTAGAGCCACCAGATGCAAGGAACCTGGTTCTTCCATGAATGCAAGGAGCAGGCAGCCCACCCACTGGCCCCAACCAACCTTCTGCACACTGTGACTTACATGAAACACAAGCCTTCATGGAGGTAAGCCACTGAGATAATGGTTTTGCAAGGTTACCCCAATTAACACACCTTGTATTTATCAACAGCAGTGGCATAAGTGAAAAGAACCCCTGGACTTAGTTCCAGGACCTGGGATACAAATTCTGGCACTACTACTCTCCCCACATACCCCATGATCAGCTCTTGGAATATACTTATCCTTTCCCAATTGCGTGTTTAGCACATTCTCCTCTTCTCATTATACAATCCTCCCCACTCTTCTCTGCCTCAAGATTTCCGTGAGGACTTCCCATACATGGTCACTTCTCTTTGTCCCCAGTGCAAAGTACATTCCTCTGTTTTAGCATCTATTATGCTTTATTACAAATATTTGTTCACATGTGTTTTCAGACTAAGAATCCTTTCTTTGATTCCCAGCATTTAGTTACAGTGTCTGGCACATAGTAGAAAATAAATATGTATTCAAGGAATGATTGTTATATATGACCTTAAGTGAGTCACTTATTTTTTAAGTGTATTAAATAAATTTTATAGAATTGTTGTGATGATAAAATAATGAATGTGAATGTAGTTTGTGGGTTATAAACAGATTCTAACAGTAATGGTTTTACTCTGTTTTGTAGGCCCTTCTCGTCTTTTCCAGGCAAGTCCATCTTAATGCTTCAAGGTAGCACTGTCCAACAGAATTATAATGCAAGCCACATTTATAATTTAAAAACTATTAGTAGCCACATTACAAAAGTTAAAAGTAGGTGAAAATAATTTTAATAATAGACTTAACTCAGTATACCCCAAATATCGCTCATGCGCTATTTTACATTTTTTAAATTAAGTCTTCTAAGTCTGGTATGAACGTAAACTTACATCTCTTTTCGGACCACCCACATTTCGAGAGCTCAGATGCAGCATTTGGCTAGTGGCTCCCGCAAATTGGACAATGCAGCTGCAAGGCCTACTTCGGATAGCAACTTTTAGTGAAGTCAACTGACTATTCTTTAGTCAGAATTAGTGACTCCTCCTCGATGCTCTCTCAAGCACTTTATCCCCACTATCTTGAAACCTAGAGGGTGAGCTCCTCGAGGAATTCCAAACTGTTGACTCAAGAAATCGCTCTCAGCGATGGTCTGGCCTATAACCGGCGGTTATTAAATTCGAGGTAATTAATGAACCCTGTGCAAAGAACCCCGTGGGAGGTCAGTGGCCAGGACGGAAATGGTCAGTCAGGGAAGAGTGCCGGCGAGCTGACACCCTAGGCGGGAATCCAGGCGTCCGCCGCCCCTCAGCCGGCGGCTTCGTCGGGGACGCAGGCGCCAAGGTCCGGGGCTCGGCCTGCTCGGGGACGGCGGAGCTGCGGCCCCACCCCCGCGCCGGCACCGCCACCGCCGCCGCAGCTGCCGCCGCCGAGCCCCGGAAGCGGGCGGGGATTTCCTGTGGCTGCCCCGCCCGCCGGGCAGCCGTCTCCGCCTGTCGCTGCCTCAGCCGGCCGCCGGCTCCGAGACGCGAGCGGAGGGCTGAGGGGAGGGGCAGGCGGCGCCCGGGAGGGAGGCACCAGGCCTCGGGCCAAGCCGACCCGGGTGAGTGGGGCCGGGCCGGAGGGAGCCGCGGCTGGAAGGAGGTGCGCCTGGCTTCCCGGGGCGGCGGGTGGGGGCTTGGTCACCAATGGGGGCGGGGAGGAGGATCGACGCGGCCTCCGGGTTGCTTCCTTTCCTGGCGGTCGGCCCCACTGACGTTCTGTGCCCGCCCCTCGCCCTGTCTGCCGGTGCCCATGGTAGCTGTCAGGCCCCGCGGGCTCCCGTCGCTGTCACTCGCGCACCGCTTATCCCTTGGCTCCCATTCTCTTCACTAGCTCAAGCCCCAGCTCACGGGAAACCTGTTTTCTGACCTCACTTCCCCTGTTCCAGTTCTGCCGTGCTCGGATTCTCTGAAATCTGACCCTCTCCAGGGGCACTGTGACAAGCAGGAGGGAAGAAGCAGCCTTACTCCTGAACAGGCTCCTGGCCTGCCCACGCCCCATCCGCGGCTGGGGCCAGGGTTCTCTGATGGTCGGAGCGCGACTCGCCCCTGTGCCCTTGGGCTACTCATTTCGATAACATGGCCCTTTTTCTGCCCAACAGCACTGGTGGCAAAAACTTCCTTTTGCAGGTGCCTTGCCACCCAGATATATGAAGAAGGGGGTGCAGGGGAGGGGAATGAAAGCCCTAGTACTCAGACTGCAGTGTATTTGGGATTATCTTGGAACCAGGAGAAACCAGGTTAGGGCTGCCACTTTAACTGCACAGGTGCTGTCTCTAGGTGAACATCTTAGGAAATGCAGGCTAAAGACAGGTACCCGTCCCCTCCTTTGCTGAGATTTCTCCCAGCGCTTCCACAGGTTTTCTGTCAGTTGTCTGGAAAGGATGACAGCTGGCCCAGTGAGCTCTGCAGAAAGAGGCTTCCCATCAAAGGACTCTGCTACTGGGGGAGATGGAGAGATGGGTTTTAGAGAGGTGTCCAGATATTTAGCTAGAGGTAAAACCCTGGGGCGGGGTGGGGGGATTTGCCAAGGGACCTAAACAAAAAGAAAGCCTTAGGGTAAAGGGGGAATTTGTGCCCTGTGTGTTAAAAGTGAAGAGAATACAGAGGCTGAAATTCAGAGAAAAGAGCTAAGTGGAAGTTTCCCTTTATTGCTTTATCAGGAATTTTACTTTCTCACGAGAAGTTTCTGAAAAGGAAACCTCCTAAGCTGGGAATCAGTCCAGGATGATCCCATGAGGCCCTGATCCATCTTTGGACTTCTGAGATGAAAGGGGAATTTGTTCTTCCTGTGCATTGGGCTTAGGGTTCCCACCTACCTCTTTTGTCAAAGACAAATAGGCAAGAAAATAAAAGACTTGACATCTGTCATTACCTATAATGGCCTTCTAGGTTCTTGCAAATGCTATTGAATGGATGTAAGTGAGCCAGGATAGTTACCAAGGTTCTGACCTGTTCTTGGAAGCCTTTCACTGGCCCTGACTGCTTGAGTATTGAATAAGAATCACAAAAATATGTTGCCAAACAGAAAGAGATTCTGCACAGTCTCATAGTAGACTATTTCTCTGCCATAAGGCAGGGAGGCCCCTATCACAACACAAGTGGGACCTGTCCTGCTCTTAATATGTCTAAAGTAAAGAAAAGCCCACAATCTGGTCTTGTGCACTACAACAAGACTATTAAGAATTTTTTTTTTATTGAACCTAAGTCTCTTCTGTTTCAATCAAAACTCATTTCTTCTGTTTGATCTATATATAGAAGACACCTACCTCTCTTTTTATTCATTGGTAGTATCATTCATTAGCCTTCTCCAGACTAGAGAAAACTACGTCCATTGTTAACTTTTCTAATGGCTGTATTTCCCATCCCTTTCTTGACTTTCCTTTCTTCTTATGAACACACTGGCTTCTCCATACCCTTCTTTAAAATTGAATATACTTTTCTTATGAGATCTGACTGGTGCCTGCCAAACAAACAAGTTTGTTCCTATGTCTCAAATCTCATAGCTATTAATTCACCCCAGGGTCATGTTAGCAGTGCTGCTTCCCCTTTTTCCACCTCTGGTTCAAACCCAGAAAGTTATTTTTTACCATTCCCAATTAAATATCAGCTCCTCACTGACAATTTCTCAACTGTTAAGAGCTGCTTTGGAGTCTTACACCTGCTTTTTAAGTCACTAGTCTTTCTACCATATTTACTAGCCGTCGTCATTTTCTATATGAGAGTGACAGATCATGTGTCTCTTTGTTGAGGCTTGTCCTAAGTGAGGTGCCATTTGGTTCAGCCTCATAAAAGAGGTGTGTGCTCATGACACCCATACACCCTTTGTCTGGGACTTCTACCTGTAGTAATCATTTCATTCTAAATTAATTAATGAGAATGTGATTTGTAACAGAAAATCTTAAGTATGATTATATCCATCTTTGTTGAGTGCAGATCTAGTGTAGTCTTTCCTGCATGTTTCCAAATTGTTTACTTTCTGTACTTTTTCAATGGTTAAAATTAAATGGATAGCTTTTGAATTTCCAGGATTTTTTTTTAAATGAACTTCTTCCAGCCTTCAGGGATATTCTGTTTCTACCATGAAGTTCCCAAAATAACAGTTAGTGACTTTGCTATGTGGCACCTGCCAATTTCTTAGTTCCTCCAAGAAGTTTGGCTCAGGCTCTGTTGATTGGAACACATCAAGCTTTTAAAGTTCATCTTCCATCCAGCTCCTCCTATCTAGTTTCATCTATTATCCCTGGGGCTGTTCTCCATAACTTCCTTAGGAATATCACCCCTTTCCATTTTCATGGACATAGCTGATATGAATTTGTTCTAGGTCACAATTTGGTTTTGCAGCAAAAATGCTTTCAGAACAGACAGCAGCCTTGGGGACAGGATGGGAGTCAATGAATGTACCGCTGGATGGAGCAGAGCCCCAGGTGGAAAGGGGAAGCCAGGAAGAGGGGCCATGGAGAACAGCACCAGGGCCATTGGAGCACCTTTGCTGTGACCTCGAAGAGGAGCCACATTCCCTTCAGGAAAAGGGTGAGAGCCCATCGGGTGTGTGGGAAGCACAATGCATGGAGTAGTCTCCTAATCTCTGTTCAAAAGTAGAGCTAAAAATCCCCAAATTGCCATGGACTGAAGAGCATAACCAATACCAGGGCTAGTCCGTTCTTCCTGGGCCCTGGTCACAAGTATAGAATAGGCTCCTAAATTCTCCAAACCATGTAAACAGTGCTTCTCCTGTTTCTTGCATAATCCCTCTCTCAGCATGCAAGCACATAGTTAGTGATATTGAATGTGGAGATGAAGGAAGTGACAGCAACACTGATTACTGTTGGAGAACATACCTGGTAAGATGCACTTTACTAGATGAAAATTACATTCAAGTAATATAAATTCAAACCACAGCTAGTCTAACTAAAAGCCACCTAATAGCCTTACAGAACATTTTGAGTGAAAGCCTCTTCATCTACACGTATGCATTTGAGTTTTACCAATGGGAATAGATACAGGAGAAGATGTGACCTTTAAGACTCTCTAAAATGGGGCCCTGGCTCTTACTGGAACAGGGTGGATAGTTCATCTCTAATGGTTCCTCTCTACCCTCTCCAGCTCAGTCTGCTCCCTGGGTTCCTACAATTCCCCAGGAGGGGAGCACTGGAGACTGGGAAATGGCAGCTGCACTTCTTGCGGCCGGATCACAGGTGGGCTTTGCTTCCCTTGGCCTCTCTAAGGTCGCATTGCTGCTGACCTTCTGTGGCTTTAGCATCATCTCATTGATTTGTTAGTTCACATGATCACCAATGGTATGTTCATTTTATAACTGAATAGATTCTATCCCTTTCCAAGGAGCTCAGAAGTCCCTTGGAAAATTAAGTGGAAGCATAACAAGAAGAGAGAATTACTTGATGTTAGGGCTTTTAAATGGATAGCTGTGTGTTATCCACAGGATTTTAAGAACAATTAATTAGCTTCCTTTAAGAAATAAATCTAGAAAGATTAAGAAAAGAGGACCTGAAAAAAGCTTAGAAGAACCTAAAGTGGACAGGATTGGGTAGATGATGGAGCATTTATGGACAAGAAGAAAGAAAGAGGTCCGGGTGAGGTGGCTTATGCCTGTAATCCTAGTACTCTGGGAGGCCGAGGTGGGAGGATTGCTTGAGCTTAGGAATTCAAGAGCAGCCTGAGCAAGAGCAAGACCTCATCTCTACTAAAAACAGAAAAAATTAGCCAGGCATGGTGGCATGCACTTGTAGTCCCAGCTACTCGGGAGGCTGAGACAGGAGGATCACTTGAGCCCAGGAGTTTGAAGTTGCTGTGAGCTAGGCTGATGCCACTGCATTCTAGCCCAGGCAACAGAGCGAGACTCTGTCTCGAGGAAAAAAAGAAGAAAAAGAAGAAGAAAGAAAGATATAAACATATAAAGAGAGGCAGAGCCAGAGAGGGGAAATAGGTTTAGATTCAGAAGGCAGTAGGAGAGCCATGGAAAGATAATAATAATAATAGTACTAATAGGAGCACACGAGTTTGAAGTTGCTGTGAGCTAGGCTGACGCCACTGCATTCCAGCCCAGACAACAAAGTGAGACTCTGTCTCGAGGAAAAAAAGAAGAAGAAGAAGAAGAAAGAAAGATATAAAGATATAAAGAGAGGCAGAGCTAGAGAGGGGAAATAGATTTAGATTCAGAAGGCAATAGGAGAGCCACGGACAGATAATAATAGTACTAATAGGAGCACACTTCAAGCTGTTTTCCAAGTGCTTTGGGTATTTTAACTCATTTAATCCTGGGAACAACTCAATTATCCCATTTTTCAGATGAGAATATGGGGAAGGGAGAGATTAAAGCACTTGTGTAAGGTCATAGTGCTAATAAATGACAAAGCTAAGAGTCATTCGGCTTTAGATTCTGAGCTCCTAACCACCATACTGTGCAGCCTAAAAAGATAAGGATATTTGGTGTGGCAAAGTAGGCAAGAAAGAATATTATATCTGTATTATTTTGTGCTGATATAAAAGGAAAGGTCAAACGGAGGAAGGAAGAGAAGGTATAAAATTTCCACAATAAAGGGTAAGCCAGGTGAGAAGAGACTGAGTGGATATCTGTAGTTAAACAGAGGGAGTGATGAGTTTGTGCTGCCTCCAACTTCTCATAGTCCCACTTAGGAAACTTCTCTAGCAATGTCACTGTCACTCACTCTTGACCATCTGCCTTTACTCCTCTCTTCATTTCCCCTTTACCAAAACTATATGCCCTACCCAGGGGACTCTGGGCAATTATTTCCCTAGATCTTTTCTTGCTGTATGTCCTCTACTACCTCAGCCTTTTATACTGAGATCACATTTTCCTTAAGAAACAGCTGCTGACAGAGGATGCTAAATTTTGTTTCAGGGCCTGGTAACCATCAAGGATGTGTCACTGTGCTTCTCTCAGGAGGAGTGGCGGAGCCTGGACCCCTCTCAGACAGACTTTTATGGAGAATATGTCATGCAGGAAAACTGTGGGATAGTAGTATCTCTGAGTAAGCATGACCTTCCTCAGCTGCTAAAAGATTGTATTCTGGGAGGATAGAGCCATCTGCTTTAGGGCTGTTGGATAGTGACTGTCTAGGATTCTTTCCTTGGCAGGGAATCTCTCTAGGCTTCCACTAAAGAAAGAACACTAGGGATAATCTCAAGAGAATGGGAGTAAAGCATCATTTTTAAAAATCAATAGCAAATAATGCTGAACTATGGCATAAAGAACTTGAGGCTCTTCTTGGTTGGGAATTGGGAGATTCTTACAAAGCAGAGAAAGGGACATCTAGAACTGGGTCCTTGGAAACTTGGAAACCATCTAGAGAAAAATGGGGGCTTGGGCGGTGGAACAGCTGTAGTAGGACTACAGTGAAGTTATGACCACAAAGGACAATGGGCTCAAAGTATTTGAGTGGAAGAGAACAGGCTCATTGAGAAGGAGAGTGTGAATTTCTAGGCAAAGAAGAAGGATTTAACAGAAATAGTGGGTGAGGAGAGGTTCGTATCTGGCCTTCTTTTATCTAGAGTTCCAAGGAGTAATCTAGGAAACAGCTTGTTTCAGAAATAGAGAATTATTGTTGAACTAATTGGCATCTTTATTTTCCTTTCCCATGGGCAGGATTTCCAATTCCCAAACTGGATATGCTTTCTCAACTAGAAGGAGGAGAAGAACAATGGGTCCCTGACTCCCAGGACTTAGAAGAGAGGGACATTCTGAGGGTCACATATACAGGTGAGGACCTAAAATAGACTTATAGCCACTGCCTTCACCTCTCTTGGGGTGTCATGATTACATAGTCCTTTAATCTGTCCTCTGCCTCAGAGGGTTACAGAGTAAAAAGGATTAAAAATCTTCTTCTTCAAAAGGCAGTGTAGTAGAATGGTTTAGAGGAGAGGACAGACTCTGAAGCCAAACTTTGTGGATTAGAATTCTGGACTATACTTACGGGACCTTGGAAAAGTAATTAACCTCTCTTCAGTTTCCTCATCTATAAATTATTGTGAGAATTAAATATATTAACATATTAGAATGGTAGAACAGTGCCAAGCACATAATAAGCACTCAATAAATGTTAGTTGATGTTATTGTTGATGCTGTTGTTGTTCAACCTCCCACCCATTTCAGGAATGCCTTCCACAATGTCTCCAGTGTTGCTGACAGGTGGTCACTGAGCTGATGATGATTGCAACACATATTCCTCAACTTTCTCCATCTATGCTTAGGCAGGAAGATGGCAGTGAATAGTAATAAATAGTAGTATATAAATAATAGTAATAAATAATAACAATAGCATATACCATTTACTGAGTGCTTACTATGTGCAGATACTGTGCTATCTTATAACAACCTTCAGAGAGAAGTGTTATTATTCCCATTTTATAGAAGAAATGAAGACTCAGAAATTAAGTGGGAAAATTTGAGATTTACACTTGGGTAATTTGCCTCCTAAACCTAGACTTTTAACCTCTACATCTATTGCATTATCTTGTACAATATTAGAATATGTTCTCTCAGCCCTTCTGGGGTGAGATTTGGGCCCTGACCGACATCATACAACTTCTCCTGTGACTTAGGTCCTGGCGTACTCTCTTGTAACTCCCCTCTTGGGGTCGGTATTTTACCTTCTCCACAGGAGATGGAAGTGAACACGAGGGGGATACCCCTGAACTAGAAGCAGAACCTCCCAGAATGTTATCCAGTGTGTCTGAAGATACTGTTCTGTGGAACCCAGAGCAGGATGAGAGCTGGGATTCCATGCCCAGGGGTTCTAGAGGAATGCTCCTGGGTCCCCCTTTTCTTCAGGAAGATAGCTTCTCAAACCTTCTATGTAGCACAGAGATGGATTCCCTGTTAAGACCCCATACATGCCCCCAGTGTGGGAAACAGTTTGTGTGGGGCTCCCACCTTGCCAGGCATCAGCAAACACACACTGGGGAGAGGCCCTATAGCTGCCTCAAGTGTGAGAAGAGCTTTGGGCGAAGACATCACCTAATCAGGCACCAGAAAACCCACCTACATGACAAGCCCAGCAGGTGCTCGGAGTGTGGCAAGAATTTTCGATGCAACTCCCATCTGGCCAGCCACCAGAGAGTGCATGCAGAAGGTAAATCTTGCAAGGGCCAAGAGGTTGGAGAGAGCCCTGGGGCAAGGAAACGGCAGCGTGCCCCACCAGTGCCAAAGTGTCATGTGTGCACTGAATGTGGGAAGAGCTTTGGCCGAAGGCACCACCTTGTGAGACACTGGCTGACCCATACTGGGGAGAAGCCCTTCCAGTGCCCTCGCTGTGAGAAGAGCTTTGGCCGCAAACATCACCTGGACAGGCACCTGCTGACCCACCAGGGACAAAGTCCCCGGAGCAGCTGGGACAGAGGGACGTCTGTCTTTTGAAATCTATTTCTGCTATAGTTATGGTCAAGTCTATCAGCCGGTGCTACCAGGAGTCACTGCCAGAGCTGCCCCTCTCCTATACCCCAATGGCCAGAATCATGAGCCCTGACCCCATCCCTAGAAAGATGAGGTCCCAGGATTGGCCAGGGCATTTCTCACCAGTTCTGTGAGACACCACATAAAACCAGAGTCCTTTGGGCAAAACTTTTGGGAAACCGTGCATACTACATGGGCTGATATTCAGCCTGAGCCCATTCTCAAGGATACAGTGGTACCAGCAGTTTATGGCTGAAGTCCATTCTGATTGGTTGATTCTGTGCCATACCAATTGTTAAATATTTTGAGTATCACCCTTGTATACTATAACTATTATATTTTCTATATACATACAGAAAGATCATTCTAGCATATTAAAGGCTCTGAAATCTTATGCAGTAGAGCATACTGTCAAGCTTCTTTTAATGCAGTGTTTCCTAAATTTATTTGGCCTTGGTATCCTTTCTATTTCACATCCCACAGAACTGGTGACTCCATGAAACACACTCTGGTGAACACTGGGTTAGAGAGTAATGAAGAACCAAGAAGAGATAGTGACTAGGTACCCAGAGCCCCCTTTTTTATCCATATGAAAGCCTGGGGGCCAGACCTTGTTCCTGTGTGAGTCTGTCACTCTTAGCCCAATCATCTATATACATCTACACCTCTCACCCCCACCTGACGAAAAATAGAAAGAATAACCTATTCATCCCCTTATTCCTACTCCCTTCATCCTGCACATACATACATGGAGCTGAGAGATCACACAACAATGCTAAGAGATGGACCTAATACTCCCAAGTAACCCAGGCCCATACAGAAGAAAAAACTTTTATCTCCTTGAACAGACCCCTTCTCTTGACTGTGTCTTTATGTGTCTATGTGTCTGTGTGTGGGGGTCTTTGAAGAGAGCATGCTAAGTGCAAACTATACAAGCTAGGTTTTCTAGGGGCTGTGTTCTGGGGATAAGGGTAGTGGGGATTGTATGGCGTTTTTTGTTTTGTTTCAAGATAGCAAGTAATCTGAGTGATTAAGGAGCCCTAGTGGAAAGGGTTAAATGTCAAATGATGGATTAAGTTGTGGCAGTTGAGTACAAAGCCTTCCCCAGTATCACTGAGATCGAGACAATTGTGGATGTATATGTCTTGATCTGAATCTCTGGGTTGCAGATTGTTTTTACCTGGGAGAATAGAGATGTCTTCAGTGAGGTGAGCTGTTTCTTGTTGATTTCAGGCAAGGTGCATATAGAAGCTTTGTGCTGAGTGGGATTTTTTGTTTTGTTTTAAGTGCTGGGAAATTAGGACAGGAATCATAGTGTTTGCAAGTTGTTCTCATCACTCTTCTTTGACTCTGATTGCCTCATAAAGGGAGAAGAGTTATTCTTTAGAATCTCATCCTCCCAGAAACAGAACTTTAAGGGAAATGGCTGTGGCTTAGCTTTTCAGCTGATGCAGGGTGATGAACTTTCTGCTTGGTTTTCCTCCCAATTCTGGAACGGTGTCCACACTATTAACTCCCTAGGACTTTTATAAGTATTCTAGCATCTGTTAGTTGACGACTTGGTCATTGTTTCTATTTCTTGATGGTTGTGTTAATACAAATCTTATAATTTAAAAATTATCTTGTATGTAAAAGCAGTTTGGGGTTAGGGAGGAAGAGGAGCAAAAAGGATGAAAGTGGGATATTTTCTCTTTAATGCTTAGATTTGGATTTTTCCCTAAGACACTTTTTTCTTAGCCACAATTGGTGTAATGAACCAGAGAGGCAAGAGTAAGTGAGCTACAACAACCTAGTTTAGTCACTGTCCCATTTGCTTAGGAAAAACTGGGCAAACCATGGCTCCTCAGAGTCCTGGACCTAAATGAAATTAAAATACGGTCATTCTGCTGACTGGGCTTCTGAGAATATATGTGACTCGAGCAGCCAAGCTCCCACCTCCCTTCTGCTACTCAGAGCAGTCTTTCTTTGCCTGGAATGCAATTCTCTTGCTTATGTTCCTATGAAAACAGCAAAATGGCCAGCCCTTTGTAAGGCAGGCCTTGCCCTCGGTCCTCAAAAACAGGAGCATTTTAGGATCAGTATTAGGAGATGCACCAGGGAATAGGAGAGTATTGGGTTCCAGTAATAAATCTGGACTGTGCCATTTCCTTTAGTCTCCTATTTTAATGTAAGTCTTTAATACAAATCAGCTTTATGTAAGCAATGGTTCAGAACCTGTTTTGGATCACAGACCTGTTGGCAAATCTGATAGAAACCAGAAACCCACTTTTGAGAAAAGTAGACATTTGCAAGTCACTGAACGTTGCATACCCCTTTAGCAGGTTCAGCCCATCCATGAAATCACTAAACTGGCTTCAAAGAAAGGGTGTTATCCTGACCCCAAATTATCATATATTTGTGTCAAGAATTACAAGGCAAGTATTACCAAATATTTTAAGGACTAAGGTACCAGAGACATCAGTGTAGAAGGATGGAGTCTAGTATTTAATGACTAGAAGGATATTGCAAACATTCTACTCCATATTTTTTAAAGATCTGACATGCTGAAAAATCCAGCTTCTCACAGACCTTGTTTTTAGGATGTGGGAAGTGATATTCCTTACTATCAGATCACACCTGCTAATAAGTCATGTTAACTCCAAACTTTTATCTGTTTTAGTAAATGTGGGGATAGAGAGTGAAGCCCCCAAAGTGTAGGTGCAATTATAGCACCCAGCTGAAAGGCATCATGGAGTCTAAGAGCCTTCTGCATAAGAGGCAATCCTTTGGGTCATTTCTGTGTACCATTGTCTTCTCTACCTCGCTCCAACACCACCTTCCTTGGACAAAAAATAAAACAAGCAACAGCCATAAGATGAGTGAATAGATCTGAATTTTTGCCACAGGGAATCAGCCTCAAACTTTAATGTTTACAACTCCCTTCTGCTACGTGTCTACCTTATCCCCTTTAAATAAAAAATGTCTCTGTGTTCTCTTTGGGAAAAATGTCAAACAGGGACATTCATCTTCAGGAACCTGTCACATTTTTCCAACTGTGGTGCCTGTATCCTATACTAAGTATCCTCCCCTTTCCACCCCAACATAGTATCTCTGCAAAGAATCCCTCGCATAGGAGAATGTAACCCAAAGTGTTAGCTTTTCCCAAAGCTATTAGGTTATTAAATATGAAATGTCCGATTTCGAACCAAAAGTTTATTATATCTCAAATAAGCAGTACAATTAATCATGTGCCTAAAGCTATCGACACAGTTTTGCCATCTTAACAGTAGCTTGCTTATGCCAGCAGTGAAGAAGCCTGCAGAGTGAGTGGTGATGAGATCACAAAAGGCGTTTTCCACAGCTTGTTGAGAATTGAATATTTTTCCTTGCAAGAAGTGGGCCAAAGCCTGGGAGAAATGGTAGTCCAGTAGTGCAAGGTCTGGTGAATACAGTGGATGACAGAGAGTTTCCAAGTCCAGCTTGTGTAGTTTCAGCAGTGTTGTTTTTTGCAACATGTGGTCTTGCAAGAGGATTGGCCTGTCTTACTGACCAATCTCAGCTGCTTAATTGCAAGCATCCTCATCATTTTGTCCAATTGGTTGCAGTAGACATCTGCTGTAATCGACTGACCAGGTTTCATGAAGCTGTAGTGGGTAATACCAGCACTGGCACACCAAACAGACACCATTAGCTTTTTTTGATGAATATTCAGTTTTGGACTGTGTTGCAGCACTTCATCTTTATCCAACCATTGTGCTGAATGCTTGCCATTGTCAAAAAGAATCCATTTTTCATTATACATAACAATACGTTATAAAAATAGTTTGCCTTATGTCACGACAGCAAAGAAAGGCAAGCTTCCAGATGATTTCTGACACTCATTTAATTCATGCGTTACTCATCCATCCAGCTTCTTTACCTTGCTTATTTGCTTCAAATAGTCCAATATTGTTGGAATAGTAACGTCAAACCTTGCTGCTAATTCACGTGTAGGTTGAGATGGATTTGCTTCCACGACAAATTTCAGCTCATCATTATCCACCTTGATCTCAGATCACTCACATAGCTCATTTTCAAGATTAAAATCACCACAATGGAACTTCTCAAACCATCGAAGTACTGTGCATTCATTATCCATATCTTTCCCAAACACTTCATTGATATTTTGAGCTGTCTGTGCTACATTGGTTCCATGATGGAATTCATATTCAAAAATAACATGAATTTTTGACTTATCCATAGTTTCACACAAATTGCTCTAAAAAAATTTGAAAGATAATCACAAGCCAAAACATGCTTTTGAAAGAATGAGAATGTACCTTCACAATAAAAAAAAAAAGTGTCAAAGTGAAATGTCAGAGATACTATCAATTTTAGTACTTAAGGAAATTGGACATTCCATACTTAATAACCTAGGTATTTACACTTTAAGTCTTAGCTCTAATTGTGGAAAGAAAAGCTTTTCCCTTGTTAAAGCGATGTTACACCTTCAGAGAGGTAAAGAAGATGATCATTTGGGACAAAATCCCTCCCTTTCCAACATTCCTGCAATCAAGACACTGTTTCCTGTTTCCATCAAGGGCAAGGTAAGCGCTGATTCAGACCTAGAGGGGCCAGAAGGCAGGTTCTTTCCACCTCTATTGTGATGGGTGCACTGAATGGGGGTGCGTGGGACTGGGCAATAACGCAAAAGTGAAATCTATTCCTTTAGATCCCTTAGAGAGCCTGAGCTGGCAAAATTTCCCTTTATTCCCTTGTGTGCTATACAAGATCTTGGTTCTCAAAATGTGGTCTTTGGATTAGCAGCATCAGTATCACCTGGAAACTTGTTTGAAATGCAAACTCTCAGGCCCCATTCCAGACCTACTGAATCAGAAATTCTGAGGACAGAGCTCAACAATTAGTCTTTTAACATGCCCTCCAGGATATGTGCTATAAACCAAAGTTTGAGAACCACTGGCTAGGGGATTCATATTCCATTTCAAGCAGTGGTGCCTCGCTTTCTTTAAATGGATCTTCACACTCCTGCTGTCAGGTTTATACTCTGCAACCTTGCTAGGATACACCTTAGTTCCAAAGGCTTCCCCACCTTTAACTCGATGAAAGAACTGGGGTTAGTCACCAGTTTCAGAAACTAGTGGGGAAACTACTAAGTTCCCACGATTGATTGGGGCTAGGGCTTCCAATATGGGCACTGAAGATAGTTGGGTCCAGAAATCTGAAAGGAGCAAACAACTCAAAGAAAGAAAATCCAATACAAAACTGAAAAACTGACATCTAAGGAAATGATCCTCCTTTGCCTGGTCCTTTTCCCTGGCTCTCTAATAAGTTGTCCTGGAGGCAGGTGTTCAGCACAAAGGTAGAGAGTAAGCTTTGCTGTGCCAAGCCCTCAAGGACCCAGCTTTCCAACTTCACAAGTGGATCAGAGACCAATAAGGGGCCATGAGAGGGATTTCTAACCATGATTTGTTGTACTCTATGGACAAGGGCAGCAGGGGTATCAGAGAACCCCCAGGGCACAAGAGGAAACTAGGCTTCTCTAGTAAGATGTGACACAAGTGAGACTGAACCCAGACTGCTTACTGGGTAGAGGTTGTAATCAATTAAGCCATGGTGGCAAAAATGCATTCTCCTGTTTTGAAGATTCTGTCCAATTCAGGCTGTGGGAAGGACTATCTTGCAGGCCCCAGCCCTACTACTTCCTTCAGTTCCTCTTCCCCGGCACACTCATGATGACAAACTTAACTGACAGTTGCAAACCTGCCCACAGGGGTTCTCCAAGGTCAAAAGGTAACAGTGAATCCCCTAAAGCTGAGGCTTTCTTCAACTCCAGGCCTCAGGCTCTCTCCCTCTTTCCTGTTACCACCTCCATCTTCCCAATAGGCAGCACTCTTCCTCCACTCTTCTTCCCACTTCTCTTTTTCAGATTTTTTGATTTGGTTTGGTTTGTTTGGGGTTTTGTTTTGCCTGAGCAATGCCATACGTTCCCAAGGGTATGTGTACTTGTTCTCCCCAACCCTATCCTTCTTCCATTATAGTTTATCTCTTTAAGCTTCTGGCCAGTTCCAACTCATCATGAGCCCACTCACTACCTATCCCTCTGCCTACTGTCCAGTTTCTTTTCTATCAGCTTTAAGCTTACAAAGCAGGGTCAACTTCTTATATTTCCCACTCTCTTCCCCCAAATTCTTGGCTTGGCTATAGCAACTTGGCTGCCATCTTACCACTCTGGCTCTTTCTCTCATCCTCACTCCCCACAGTACACCACCACCACGCGACCCCCTGCCTAGTACTGCTAAATCTAGGCCCCTTACTCCATTCCCCAGGGGCTCTTTTTCCCTTGATGTAACTTGCAAAGTCACTTTTCCAATTTTCAGCATTTTAATTTACTCCCAGTCTCCCGTGGCTCCTGGGAATCAAACTTGACTCTACAAGCAAACTTTTGTGTGCTCACTATGTGCCAGGTGCAGGCAGTTCCAGGCCTGGGAGATCAAGTATGACCTTGGTCCCTGACCTCAGTGTGTTGTTCAGCTGAGCCCTCCCCAGCCATCACTTTCCTGCCATGTCTCACGCACCTGCGAGCTCTCCTCCAGGAAGCCCTGGGAGTGTATGCCCACTTGCCATCCAGCCCAACTGCTCCGTGTCTACCAGATTTCTAGCTAATATCTGATTTGGTTCCCTCTGACAAACATGAACTTTCTTTGATTACTCAAAGGGGAGGGTTTATGGTTCATGTCAGTTGAATAAAGGACATGTTGGCTGTGTCACTGATTTCTGGGTCCTCTCTTCCTGTTTTTCCTCCATTCCCAGCTCTTCTCTGCAGATAAAAAGGCTGCAACAGAGTGGAGGGGAGGTAAGTCGCAGAGTCTTGAGCAAGCCCCCTTGTCTCGCTACCTGAAACAGAAACCTTAAGAAATGAGTTTGTGCCTGGCTGCCTCTTTCCTGGCGTCCTGGCCTCCATAAGTCCCTTACCAGTGAGCCAGGGACTCAATCCAACCTGGAGATGCCGCCGGATTGGGTTGGGGGTTTGCTCCTAGGGAGTGCTTCAGCAACAGAGTGGTGAGCAGGGCCTGACTAGGGAGAGTGCCCAGGGCGCCAGTTTAAGAAGGCTCTTGGTTTCAGGGTGGTGCAAATACCCACACTGCTCTTCAGAGAACTGAGAGCCCTGAGCCCAAGTCTGGAGCCCCAAGTGGTGGTGGTGACTGTGATTTGACCCCCAGGCAAGTTTGCAATAACTGGATATTTCCTGCAAGCCAGATAAGGCATGCACAGGTGGGATTAGGGCAGAAACCCTTCAGCTAGATGCATTCAATGCTGAGAGGACAGGGAGGAAATGGTTGTGGAAAAAAACATGGAACTTCTAGAGGAACCTGCGGCTTTCTGATTTCAAGATTGTTTTTTAAGCACCAGAAGGGCAAGAAAATCTTCATCTTTCTCTGCTACACCCCTTTTAATAAAAGGATTTTTTGTGTGTAAAATTTGGGTTCAAAAGGCTGCATTCAAGGATCCAGAAGGCCACGTGTGGCCCCAAGGCCACAGGTTCCCCACCCCTGGGTGCCTCTGCAGCTTTCCTTACACCAGCCAGGCTGTTTTGTCACCTCTACACGTCATATGTTTCCTTATTTTCTTGGAGTCTGGTCTTTTCCATCACCTAAAGGGAAGGAAGTAAGGGAACTGAGAAAAGGGAAAGGAGAAACACAATCACCATGATTGCTCACTGGGGTGCCTGTTTTCTCAGCCAGCTCTAATAGACTGTTGAAATCCTGACATCCTTCTCTCTACCCTCCTACAAATGTCCTTTCCAGCCTCATCCAAGTCCTCGGGTTAACACCCCCTCAGTCTTCAGTTCCTCTCTCCCAAATTCTTTGTCTTTTTTAAAATCCTTCCCTGACATGGTGCCCCTATATAAACTTCCCAAACAACCTGTCTTCCTGTCCTTCCTAGGCACTTTAGTTGGAGAGCCTTGTCATGTTAGAGCTCTCCAGAAAAGGAGGAAGAACAGAAAGTATCTGTTGCTTTGAGATCACTGGCAAATGGAGATGTTTGCATGTTATAAAAAACAGGTTGAAAATTTGAGAACACTCCACCCACATGAAACCTCTAAATCATTAAAACACTCAGTGGAGAAATGGATTCTAAACTTCTGATCTTCATATAAAAAAGATGGCATATGGAGTTAATGAGCAGATGCTGAGGCTTCCATTTGACACCTAGAACTGGAGTGAAGTGGAGAGAGCACTGGATTTGCAGTTAAAAGTCAATTTTTAAGTTGTTCATTTTCTATAATTTATATGGTTCTGAAGTTATAATTTATATGGCTCTTAAAGCAAATACAAAAAAGATATAGTAAAGTGTCTCATTTCTATCTATCCCCTACAATTCCCATCAACATCCTTTCACAAAAGAGAACCACTTAGTTTTTTCGTGTATCCTTCTAGAGTTTCTTTATGCAATTACAAAAAGATATGTATCTTGGGAAGCTTGTCATAACAACAGAGACTAACCCCCACTTTTTACAGCTGCATTCTATTTCACTGAAGCTTCACAGTTTAACCTATTTCCTAATGACACTTCAGTTATTTACATTTTTTTGTTAATACAATGCTGCACTAAGTATGTTGGACACAGTCATTTCACAAATGTATAAATATCTAAAAGATAAGTTTCCAAAAGTGGTTCTCCTTGATTGAAACATATTTGTATAGTTTTGATAGCCAATTTCCCCCATTAGGGTTTGGGACAATTTATTATATACTCCCACCAGCATTATCTGCGAGTGCCTATTTCTCTACAACCTCACCAATGGAGTAGTTTCTCAAACATTTGAATTTTTGCCTATCTGATTAAAAATAATGTCTTTTTAGTATTTAATGTTTTGTATAGTTTTAATGTGCATTTATCTTATTAAGTTGGACCCTTTTCATATTTTTAAAGGCCATTTGTAATTCAGTTAACTTTTTTTTAAACCATTGAATATTTGATGCTAGAGGACGTCTAAGGTTCATTACAACTCTTAAATCCAACAATGATCTGATCAGCATTGCACTAGGCAGTTAAGGTAAAAGGAAAGCAAAGAATTGATGTCAGAGACATTCCATTTGCTCTCACTAAAGTTAAATACTCAAATACGCCACTCAAATGTGAGCTCAGAAAAATGGATATTGTTTTATCCATTTTGGTATTCCCAGAATAGGGCCCAGAATCCTTCGGGTACTTAGTCATTAATGAATGAATACTAGGGATGAGATTAGCTATTCTTGGAAATTCCTTTCACAGAGTGCCCAGCTAGCATTATGAGCTGCATAATCTGGATAGCTTGCCAATGATATAAGGTCATTTCTTACACTTCATTGCAGTATAGCCACCCTAAAGCTTATCAATGAAAAGTAATCTGAAATGATCATTGTTAGCTATATAAAGTCAGGGTCTGGATCTCTCCTATTTGCCACTGGTCCTCCATACAGTATGCACTTAATAAATTTGATAAGTTTTGCTGAATGAATGAAAATTTGGAATGAAGAAACCATCATAATACAAACAGAAGTGTGATGATTCCTAGGAAATTACAAAAATTGTTGCCAGTGTCATTCCTATCCTACCTTAGACGAAAAAGGCTTTCTGATTCTAGAACTCCTGGTTCTTTAGGTTAAAACATCCTAGGACTATAAAGGGGCAATACATCTGGCTATCACAAGGGCAGTTGATTAACTTTGTTCTAATGGTGTTCAATAGACAATGTTTGATTTTCCTTACTGCTCTTTTCAGATGCCTCCCTATTCTGACTCTGTTTTGCTTCATTCTGCCACTCGCATTCAAGTGCATGGTAAACTTAATTATAGCATGGGGAAATTTCAAGTTCAGATTACCCATAGATGAGACACACTGCAAGCATTTTGCTGTTACTAGCCTTTGCATAGGCTTAAAACAGTGATTCTCAATTAAGGGCTTGAGGGGGCAAATATAAGTATGACTTAAAGTTTTTTTTGTTTTACATATACGTACTCTGTTCACCCTTGAAGACAGCAGACTCTCCTTGGGAAAAGCTTGGTCAGTTATACCTGGAAAAAGCTCCCAGATGGTTCTAATACCTTCCCACTGACTCACACCTGTTCGAAGGAATAAAAAGCACTTCCCAGGTGCTTCCACTTTCCCCACTTCTTTGGCTTCAGTTGGAAACAGCTAGTCCTTTCCCTGATAAAGCTACTCTAATGTTTTACTTTCCTAGGAACCATTTCTGTGTCTTGTCGGCCTATGGCATGAGTACTCCCACACTTAATCACTGCAATCAGAACTCAAAAAAATTATACATTTGTTCCATTCTTGGTGCATAGTGCTCAATACATGTTGTTAAGAAAAGAAAAAGACCTAAGTATTCATTATCTGGCCTTCCCCATCTCCTTGTATTTCTGATATGCATTCTGTAAATCTTAATTTTCTCTCTAGGAGTTGGCCCTTTCCCAGTTGATATTCTGTTATTGTTGAATTTTGTCAAGCAAAGCATATGCCATAATGTTTAAGCCCTCCTTATCATTTTACTGACGCTTAAAATCACCTTAAAAATCATCCTAGGCCAATCCCATTTTATAGCAAATAAACCAAGACTATGAATGGTTAAGAAATAACTCAGCTAAGGTCAGAGTAGCAGAACTTTGACTAGAATCCTGTTCTCACTAAGTTCTGATCCAGGATAGTTTTCTGCTATAGCACATTACCACCCCATCATGAATTATTTATACATATATTTAACTCTCAGTGATGAGAACTTATCCTGTGCCAAGCCCTGTGCTAGATGCCTTCACAATATCATTTAACTCAGGGTTAACATATAAGAATATTCTTAAAATAGGTTATCAATTCAGGGCAAAAACTACAAACTCATCATAGTCAATTTTGGGAGAACGGACTTTGTTCTAAAAGGAATTTCAGGTATGAACCCTTTAAATCAGTGGGACCACTCAATTTAAAGGTTGTCTGCTCTTCTCCCAATATGCCCTCCTCTTTCAAACTCAATTTGGATTTGCTAGCGTGTCTAACATTACTTCAACACTTCTAGCTCCTTTAAGTTGCTGGTTTTCCTCTACCTGTTTTCTTTCCTTTTAGAAGACATTTCTCTGGGTCCTGCAGCAGGAAAAGAATCTCAGCTCCTTTTTCTCTCTTCACCCCACATGCTCCTGTCACACATCTCACCTTAACACCCACGCTCGCTCCCCTTCCAGGTAAGGCAAAGAGGCAACAGACACAATGTGGTGGAAAGGCCCTGTAAATAGTTTTGCCCATTTTCAATGAGTGTGAGAGCTGCTCACATACGAGCCTATGGGGGAAAGTCATCTGTGCCTGGAGGAAGGGACACTGCTCCCACACTGTGAATTCCCGACTGCATTCCGAGGACCTTCAGATTTAGTGGAAGTCTTTGTGCGAGTCCTTCCCTGACCACTGGAAGTCTGGTTGGTTTTAAGCGGGCTTGGCTTCTGGATGGTTCGTTTTACTGGCTTCTCGAGGTCATGCTTCTTCTCCCTGGGCTTCGAGCTTGGCCTCTTCTCCTCTTCTGACGTAGGCCTGGGGTCTTCCTTCGTGGTTCGTCCTCTCCCCTCGTCCACCACTTTGGCCCTGGCTTCCTCCTTGGCTCTTGGCCTCACCCTCCTCGCCCTCTCGTTTAGCCTTGCATTCCGTCTCCATATGTCTCTGGCCTTCTTGGCTGCCCTGCGTTGCACCCGACGCCTCCGTGGGCTCCTTCTCGGAGGGCGGACAACCTCCTCCAACCCCGGGCATCTCAACTTTCTTTTCGGCTTTGGAATCTTCCAGACCCTGAAGTAGCCGGCAGCGTCGCTGCCGCTGACCCTAAGGAGCGTGCCCTTCACCTTGGACTTGGGAATATCGCCTGAGTGGCGGCCACTCTTCCTGCGCACTTCGTAGCCAGCGTTTCCAAGTTCCTTCTTGAGGGCTGCCAAAGTCAGCCCTTTGTGCGCAGCGATGGCCTGGAGCAGCAGCTGAGACACTTTAAGCACCGAGCGCGGGCCGCGCCTCAGTGGTCCCCTGACGAGTTTTGCCGCGGGCTGCTGGGTTTTCACTTCGGCGCCGTGGGATTCGCCACTGGGCCCAGCCGCCTCAGCCATGGCCCAGCTCCCGCCTCCGCGGGGCCACTGGCTTTCGGGCTCACCAGTCAAGGCAAGATCTACAGCTGAGGCTGACTGGGCTACGTCACAAAGGCAGGCGGGCCCGGTAGAGTTTTTCAGGTTCTAATTATGCGCCTGGCAGACCCCACCCAGGTAGGGGCCTTTTTAATTTCAAATAACCAATCAAACGCCACTTCCGTCTAGGTCTAAACCAATCCAAATCTTCAACGCTTGTGCACCTCTAACAATCACATAAATAACCTCCAGCTCATATTTACTGCTCTTGATCTCCACAGCTTTCTGAAGTCCACTATTTTTCTGTAGTCTGGCACACCAGACTGTCTCTCCTCAAGGTGAGAGAAGCTACTCCCAACCATCCAAAACAAGCAATACAATGCCCGGAGAACGTAAATGTGGTAGTCCATGAAACACAATCCAGCCCAGAAACTCCTACCTTTAAGTCTCACCAGTTAGGTGTCTGCAGTTACGTCTCTCTGATTCTGCATGCTGGATTTTGTGCAAGAACATGAAGTAAAAGCAGGAAGCGCTGTGGTCCCTCTACCATAAACACTGATTCCCACACCTGGGAAGTTTAGACGCCTAATTCAATTGAATTGGAACAATCAGATTTCAAATAGCCTAAGGACACTGATTTCATCATTATTCTTTGAACATAATTTGTGCTTTTCTGCCATCCATCCTCTTCTGGGATTGCCCATCCCCTTTCTCTGACTATATAAATCCTGCTCATGTTTCAAGATCCTGCTAAATTCTGTTTCTTAACTGAGCGTCCCCAAACTCTTTCAAATAATTTCTCGCCTCTTTAACTACCACAATTATTCCTGCAATCCTATATGACTTTTTCTTTATTTTAAATTAAGTTTGTATTAAAGGGTACAATGTGCCACAATATTTTTTCAAAAAGAAAAAAAAATTGGACTTAGAGCCCGAAGACATGGATACATATCCTAGCTCTTTAACAGCTATATGAGGCTGAATGCAGTGCCTCACGCCTGTAATCCCAGCACTCTGGGAGGCTGAGCCGGGAGGATTGCCTGAGATCAGGAGTTTGTGACCAGCCTGAACAAGAATGAGACCCATAACTACTAAAAATAGAGTTGGAAATGAAGGGGACCAAGTAAGGACTAGCTTCTCAAGGACCACTTATTTTGGACACCATTTAGTTGGGAATAATTCAAAGAATATTTCAAACTGCAAAGCATACATACTTTTCCAGAGGGCAATCTTATATACTCAGAAATCACAGGATGGACTATGACACAGTTTCTTCCGTGAATCATTGCTCCAATAAGTAGATTAGACCAGGGCTTCTTAAATTTTAATGTGCAAATCAAGTACCCTAGGATATTCATAACATGCAGATTTTGATTCATTAGGTCTGGGATAGGGCCAGAGGTTTTACCTTCTAAGAAGCTCTCTGGTAGTTTTATCTGGTTGAAAACAGGCAGGGAGGGTAGGCAATGAGAAGGGAAGTAGCATGAGATGAGACTGGAAAGGTAGGTTAAGGCCAAATTGTGAAGGACAACTACAGAAAATGACAGAGATTGTAAGAGGTCACACAACAGCAAGTGGTAGAGTTTGGAATCAAACCTAAGTCTACTTAATTCTAAGGCCTGAGTTCTTAACTACTGTGCTAGGTTCTCTTTTTCTCTAAGATTGACCCTGTCCCTCTTATGTATCTCCACTATAGAGCAGGGGACAGTTTAGCTCCATAAGCGCATTTCAGATTTGCTCAGATTCAAGAGTATCTACAGGCACTCACTGTAACTTCTCCCAGTCTTTAAATCAGTGCAGAGTACTGTGATCCTGATGATTTCCATGAGCAGGGAACTAATACATCAGCGCAGGAACAGTGCACCAAGGAAGGATTTCCAGATGGAGAGGCAGAACCACATGGAGCAGGATTTTTGCCCATTTGTATGATCTCCTGGTCTGGCTACACTTGCTGGTCACATAGGCCAGTGGTCGTAGGAAAGAAGCTATCTCCATACCACAAAAGCGCAAGGTAAAGAAAGTGCTGATATAGAAGCTGTAACTAGTTATCCAGATGATCTAGCTAAGATACTTGATGAAGGTAGCTACACTAAACAAAAGATTCTCAGTATAGATGAAATAGCCTTATATTGGAAGAAGATGCCATCTAGGACTTTCATAGCTGGAGAGAAGTCGATGCCAAGCTTCAAAGCTTCAAAGGATAGGCTTCTTTTTAGGGGCTAATGCAGCTGGTGACCTTAAGTTGAAGCCAATGCTCATTTACAGTTCTGAAAATTCCAGGGTCCTTAAGAATTAGGATGACAGCACATCTGTTTATAGCATGGTTTACTAAATATTTTAAGCCCACTACTGAGATCTACTGCTCAGAAAAAAAATTCCTTTCAAAATATTACTTCTCATTGACAATGCACCTGGTCACCCAAGAGCTCCAATGGAGATGTATAAGGAGATGAATGTTGTTTTCATGCTTTCGGACACAACATTCATTCTGCAGCCTATGGATCAAGGAATAATTTCAAATTTCAAGTCTTATTATTTAAGAAATACAGGTATGCCTGAATGTGAGAAATGATGCCATTGTTCTCACCCAACTTTATTGTTTCAGGAAATGATTTTTCATAAAAACTGTTATTTATGTTACTGTACATATGTACACATATACACATAGATACATTTACACAAAAAGGACAAGAGGCTGTTGGAGATCCAGGCTCAAACTGCCTTCATCTGAAAAATCACAGTTCAGTGGGAAAATGCCACCTAAAGTGCCTAAGATCCCTGCCACAAATGGATAGTAAGCGTAAAAAGAGGAGTATCTTTGGGTTCTCATTGGTCTATATTTCAAAAAAATTTACAGTCAGATTTAAGGGATGGCAGTTGTTTATCTGTCCTCAACTAATGCTTAGTCTGCTCAGGACCTTCCCTGTCACCAGATGGGAAATGCAAGGGAGGAAGGGTTAGCTGCTGGGCTGCTGACAAGCTAATCATAGGACTGACTCAGTGACCTTCAAACATAAGACTATGGAGCTCACCCAGAAGAAGTGGGCTTTACTGGACACTTCTCAGTGAAACCTGTACAGAAATAGGATGTAGGAGAACTACAGAAACATTACTTGGCCACAATCTCAGCAAACCCAGTTTGATCTCCTGGTTAGATAAAGCATATGAATGGGTGAAAGAAAAGGGTGAAATGCTCCAAGCGCCTCTCCGGATTTGTAGGTTCTACTTAAAACCAAAGGGTCAAATCTTAAGCAGGATATTTTCAGGTAAAAGTCCCTCAATTGTACAAAAATGGAGGGAAGTCACCTTAGAGAAAAACTCAATGAATGTAATCAATGCAAGATCTAACCTTATTCAACACAAGAAAATTCATACCGAATTCATGAGAAATACTCTGCATATAATTAATGTGGAAAATGTTTCAGTAGTAGTTCTTAACTTCCTATGCAGATGTGAATACATAATGGAGAGAAACCCTATGAATGTATGGACAGCAGGAAAGCCTCCAGTAATCACTCATCCCTTTGGATACATGTGAGAATTCACATTAGAATAAAACATTATGAATGTAAGTAGTGTTTTCAAGTCTTCAGCGTTAGATCTGTCCTTAGTGGGCAAAAGAGAATTCATACTGGGGAGAATCTCTATAAATGTGATCGATACAGAAAGGCTTTCAGTATAAGTTCTACTGTCACTGTACTCATGAGAATTCACACTGAGGGGAAACCCTATGACTGTCATATTATGGTGAAATATTCAGGAAGCACTCACATTTGGTGTACACATGAGAACTCACACTGGAGAAAATTCTATAATTGTAATTAATATGGAAAATACTTCTGGAGTAGCTTTCCCCTCACTGTGTACAAGAGAATTCAAAATAGAATGCAATGACTGTGGGAAAGCCTTCAGCGTTACTTCATCCCTTAGGAAATATGACTAACTACACTAGAGAAAAGCCCTATGAATATAATCAGTATGGAAAATCCCTCCAATGTAGTTCTTCACTTCGTGCGCATAAGAAAGGTACATAATGAGGCCAATCCCTATGAATTCAATGAGTGTGGAAAAGCATTTTTTGATCTTTCATCCCTGAGACACATGAGAGAATTTACAGTGGACATAAATTTTATGAATGTAACCAATGAGTAGAGAGCAATTTCTCTATCCTTAGGTAACCAACGAGCAATCACACCAGAGAAAAACACTTTGAATGTCATCAATGTGAATGACCCTTTCATTTTACACAAGAGAAACCACACAACAGAAACACCTAAGGAATAGGTATCCCTCATCTTTCACATTGGAGAAAAATCCTTTAATGTAATCGGCAAGGTCAGCTTTATGCGCATATTACTATCGCAGTCCCACAGGTGTTCATGCTTGGGTTTTAATGCTGAAGTTGCCGTCCTAAAATTCTTAGTAAGTTTTTTTTGAATTTGTGTTTTGTTGGTGATGTTTTATAAATGATTCAGCATGTGCTAGAAGTCTGAAAGCCCATACACAATTCTTCTGCCACCTTCCCCATTCCTGAGGACAAGTTATATATAACCATATATATAAGATCTCTGAAATTATTCTTACAGCTAAAGATTATACAAAAAGTCTCCTTTGACATTAATATTCACAAATATGCCAAAAAGAGATACAACCTTCTCTACAAATCCTGAAAGAAATAAATTCATGAACCCACGGTCTAGGCTAGAAATTTAGATCATTTACCAATACTGCAACCACAAACCAGCTACAAAACTTAGTTCTCCTACATCCTATTTCTGTACAGGTTTCACTGAGAAGGGTCCAGTAAAGCCCACTTCTTCTGGGTGAGCTCCACAGTCATAACCTTTGAAAATCACTGAGTTCTGTGATTAGCTTGTCAGCAGCCCAGCAGCTAACCCTTCCTGCCTTGCATTTCCCATCTGGTGACAGGGAAGGTCCTGAACAGACGAAGCATTAGTTGAGGACAGATAAAAGAGCTAACTTTA